AAAAAAAAAAAAAAGAAATAAGATTATATTAAGTAATGACATCTAAAAGTAAAATGCTTTTTATGAAATACGACATTGATCTGTTACTTAAACTATTAAATACACGTTTTATTTGATTTAAAACTCCTTTGACATACTTGTTAAAAACACTCAAGTTTTTATTCCCAGTGAATAAAATGGGAAGTGAAATTGACTCAGGAAACTAACATTTTTCTTTTCTGTTACAGCTGGGAATGGAGGAAGAAGATGTGATTGAAGTTTATCAGGAACAAACGGGGGGTCATTCAACAGTTTAGATATTCTTTTATTTTTTTTCTTTTCCCTCAATCCTTTTTTATTTTTAAAAAATAGTTCTTTTGTAATGTGGTGTTCAAAACAATTGAAAACTGGCACCTCATCTCTTTAAAACATCTGGTAATTTGAATTCTAGTGCTCATTATTCATTATTGTTTGTTTTCATTGTGCTGATTTTTGGTGATCAAGCCTCAGTCCCCTTCATATTGCCCACTCCTTTTAAAAAATTACATGTGTGCACAGGGAGGCCACCGTTTTCTGGACTGTGCATTTTCAGGCTTGTGGTGGTAAGATCAATCAATGCAAGAAGTATTCATAATGACTTTCCATTTGGCCCTGAAGTTCTAGCATGTGATTGCTTCACTCCTGGACTGTGACTTTCAGTGGGAGATGGAAGTTTTTCAGAGAACTGAACTGTAGAAAAAATGGCCTTTCCTTAACTTGAAGCTACTTTTCAAATCTGAGGGTTTGGACCAAAAGAAGAGGAATATCAAGTTGGAGTCAAGATTACAAATAAGGTGAGAATAATGACTAACTCCAAAGATGGCTTCATTGAAGAGAAGGCATTTTAAGATTTTTTAAAAATCTTGTTGGAAGATCCCAGAAAAGTTCTTAATTTTCATTAGCAAATAATAAAGTTATTCATGCAGAAGTGTATACAACAGAACACTGCTGTTCTTTGTTTTATTTGTACTTTTTGGCCTGGGATATGGGTTTTAAATGGATATTGTCTGTACCAGCCTCATTAAAATAAACAATATTTGTAAAAATCATACTAATGCTCATTTTATTTTAATTGTATAGGAAGAAAAAAGAAGATGCCTAAAATAAGGTTTTCTTGCATAATACTGGAAATTGTTTACACATGGTACAATTTTTTTCTTCATTACTGTACATTGATGATGTTAATGACTTTGAAGCACTGAAAGTTACTGAAGTGCCTTCTGAATTAAGGATTTAATTAAGGCCCAATACCTTTTAAAATATTCAGTGTTCTGTTTTTTAAATACTTGATATTCCTGTATGGTGCGTATATATATATATCTGTGATAAAGCTACCCAATCATGTTGAATAAATGGGCACGCCAAAAATTCTTAATTGATTCATTGATAATTTCAGTTCTCCCTTTTAATAATTTACAAAATATTCTCTGCTTAAAGTTTGGTATATTTTGTTTATGTTTTTTTTTATTTATGTCTTAAACAATTAAACTTTCTATAAAAGTAAAAAGCATTAGTGGCTTGGCACCTGTAGTTCAGTGGCTAGGGCGCCAGCCACGTATACCAGAGCTGATGGGTTTGAACCCAGCCTGGGCCTGCCAAACAACAATGACAACTGCAACCAAAAAATAGCTGGGTGTTGCAGTGGGTGCCTGTATTCTCAGCTAGTTGGGAGGCTAAGGCAAGAGAATCGCTTAAGACCAAGAGTTGGAAGTTGCTGTGAGCTCTGACACCATGGCACTGTACCAAGAGCTATTTAGTGAGACTCTGCCTCAAAAACAAAAAAAGAAAGAAACGAAATTAGTTTGTTCCTTTTAGAGGGCTAAGCTTTTCCTTTTAACTCTTTAGTGGATCACAGAATTCAGAGTATCTATGCATACAAATAATGCAGTTTTATGTTCTTCCAAACAGAATGACATCTGACTACTTGAGAGGACCAAATAAAACCTATCTTGAATGCATTTGATAAACTGCTACAGCTTACAATACCTTATTCAATACCTTATTCAAGTCACCTAAGAAATAGATTGGGTACTGGGCACAATGGCTCATTCCTGTAATCCGAGGATTATGGGAAACTAAGGCAGGCACATTGCTTGAGCTGAGGAGTTTGAGACTAGCCTAAGCAAAAGTGAGACTTCCATCTCTACTAAAAGTAGAAAAACTAGCAGGGTGTTGTGATAGATGCCTGTAGTCCCAGCTACTTGGGAGGCTGAGGCAAGAGAATTGCTCAAGCCCAAAAGTTTGGAGGTGCTGTGAGCTGTGACGCCATGGCATTCTACCTAGTGCAACAAAGTGAGACTCTTGTCTCC